GTGTGTGTGTGTGTGAGTCTATGAGACAGAGCGTGAGTTGCTTCAGAAGTGTGAGAGTGTGTATAAGGTGTGTGTACGTACCACCATTTGTGTGTAATGGCTGTCACACTACCATGCCTCATTTTCCCAGAGCTTCAGAAGCATTAAGTCTGTACCCCAACATCTCAATATCCCACCCTCTCTCTAGGCTTTGTCTATATAAGAAGATGCTGCATGAATAATACAGATCCAGTATTCCCTTTATGTGTATGTGCATTAAGATATAGAGTACATACATCAGTTTGGTGTCTGGAGATACACCCGTTTTTGATAGTGTAGCATTCATTTAACTTACTTAAAGGGATAGTTCATCAAAAAAACTGAAAATTCTGTCGTCATATACTTACCCTCATTTCATTCCAAACCTGCATGACTTGCAGAAATATTAAAAAAAATATAGCATAAATTCCTTTTAAAAGACTTGCGAACAGCATTCTAAGTCTTCCAAAGCTATACAATAGCTTTGTGTGAGAAACAGACTGAAATGTATGCGCATATTAAAATTTGGCTCATAAAAACAAGCAAGAGTAAACTCTAGAGTTACGCTAGTGTTTATGAAGTTTTTTATTTTTTGCATTATGGTTTTTAATTACTGTATGTAATTTAGTTTGGGTTGCTCCATTAAAACGTATGCTCAAACAAGTGGTTATGTGCAATGGAATGAAGGTTCATCAAGATGCGTCATGGGATACTGTGTACCAGTACTGTTAAAAGTCAGAAAAGACTTCTTCACTCAAGAAGAAACTGACTCTGGAGGGATGCTCTTTGCTTTCTTAACCTTTAACCCAGCTAATAGAGAGCAAGAAGGGATGGGGTTGGTTGATCTTTTACCATTCTGACCTCATGGCCTCTGTAACCAGTGAGTCCCCCTATGTGGCCCTTGTCCGGCGGGGACAGGCACCGTTGAGGACACTCCAGGGGTCAGGGATGGAGCTATAGAAGCTGTCAATCAGAGCTTCATGCATATGTCAATCACAGTGCAGCGGTGTGTGAAAACGGACCTTTTCTAAACCACCCTAATCCAAATGTAAAAACACTCCTCTTAAAAGCAGCAGCATTAGGGCTTACAAATCACTTACATAATTGAGCAATATCAAAGCAGCCTTATTCTAAAATGAGATGTTTGCCTTTGTAATAGTTCAAAAATGATATTTTTTGCAGCGCCTTAAATTAGTTCACCACATGTAAACTAATGTTTTGCCTTGTCATATAAAGCGCAAACACAAAATATTAGATCAACCGGATTCCTTATTTGCACACTCATCAGATTGAAATAAGTAAGAGAAGCCATTTCTGAGTACATGGTTACTTACAGCACGGTGGCTCCCAAAAGGTGAGACTGGTGGCAGTGCGGCCCTGAGCCACCCTGGGGGGTGCTGGAGCCTCAGAGGCTGGGGGAGAGCTGGAGCCGTTGACAGGTGGAGGTGTGATGGAGAAGCAGGCGCCAGAGAGAGCTGAAAGGGGCTAAGGAGGGCCACAGTGCCGGGGCAGAGCGGAGCCAGCCTACAAAGCCTAATAAACAGGGATTTTGGGCATCAGTGCTCATATATATATTCTTTTTGTCCCTATAACAAAAGTTAAGATGTTGTTGGCATTAAAGCATTATTATTTTCCCAGCAGCATTATATTTTAGGCCAAACTTTATATATATTTTTTTATTTTAAAATGTAAAAGAATTTGTAAAAGCAGTATTACAGTTTTTTTTTCAACTGCTTACAAAAAACTTAATTTGCTGTAAAGTTGCTTTGCAATGATTTGTATCGTGAAAAGCGCTGTACAAATAAACTTGACTTGACAAAAAATCTTTATATCACAAATAAAAATTTAAAATTTAAATACGTTTTACCATACGACTATAAATGACAGAGTATTAAGTTATTTCCCCTCGATGGGGAAAAAATCCAAGTGAACATCAATCAGTACTCAATATTAATTTAAGCTGCTTTAAATATGACTGCTGCTTATTTCCTGTGCACTTTTTTATAGTCGCTAATCCCATTCCTACCTCTAAACCTAAACATAACTATTTCTGTACAGTATAAGAAAAACATGACAAACAGATAAATGCAATTACAATCATTTATTTATTGCAAAAAATGTCAAAAGCAGTACCAAAAGTACTGTAATCCAATTGATGATGTGTTGCAGCCGTAGTCCTCTCTGGCGGAATACAGTAGGTTTGTTTGAGGTGCAGAGCAGAAATTATGTTGTTAATCGCTATGAAATTATATAGTTAATTATCCAGATTATTTTCCCGCTCCACTCCATGAACTCGTGAAGGCGCGCGCGCATCATTCAAACACACCTCACCAGAAACACCAGAATCTGTGACGAATGCAGGCGAGAGCCAATGAGCGTTCGATTATTCTAGTCTTTTGAAGCGGCAACATTTGAATTTGTAAAGAGCGCCTCAGTCAGCGCTGGCTTTGCTGCTTACGGTCACTGGACTGGCTGCTCGGGATAGAGATGAGGATCGCCGAATTAAGGCTTGGATTTGGGTCTGTTCCTCGCAGTCGTATGGATTCTGAAGATTTGGATTACAGCACACGAATAAAATTGTTTCATTTCGTAATTATGTTGCAGTTTTGGTGTATTTTATAGTTCTATTGTCAGTCACAGCATGTAGGAGAAAACGCCTTTTGTGGCCCATGGCAATCAAAGTAA